CTTGGCACTGCTAGTAATCCCTCAGACGAATAAAATTATGTGCCTCACTGCTCACTCGAATGTGTCTCGTTACAACTTCCAGCTCTGGCTTCTTGTTACCCCAGGTTTTTTGTAGCTTAGTTTCATCGGAAAATAAAGTTTGTGTGATCCCGTTGTTGATAGAAACATGGGTACCCATCCCTGCCTCCCCAGCCCACGTAACCATTGAAGGCCTTGCTCAGCCGTGATGTAGAGAGGGCGTTACGCTGCTTTGGGAAACCTCACCCCCACAGCACGGTTTGGTTTCTGCTTGGGTTTTTGCACCCTCCCCAAGTTTTCCAGATTCCCTTAGTGCCAAAACTGCATGAAGCGTTGCCGCACATGTCCTGCTAGGGAGAAGCTGCCCAGAGCTCCTCATCCAGCTCTTTCGGGACTATTGGGGCAGCCCAAACCTGCGAAATCAAAGCTGTTACTGTCCTGAAGATAATGATGGATTAGCGAATACCTTCTTGCCCTCCTGCCGGACAAGTATATTAGCTCTGTGCCTCGCAGATGTGAAAAAAGTATTTATTGAGCACTTCAGTCATCTCTGCGCAACAACAGGCCACGTATCCTTATGCTTTTCTCAATATATTTTAAGTTTCTCCAGTGGTCTCTGTACCTGTATTGCTCCCTGGTGGTTTCAGCCTCCCTTGTTTATTTCCCAGTGACACAATTGTGAATTAGATTGCTCCATCTCTCTCTATACTTTTTTTACATTTTGCTGCCTTCAGCGCCAAACCAGGGCAGAAGTTTAGCTGAAAATATTCTTTCTTCCTTGTGCACTTATAGCTTTCAGATCAGACAACAAGCCTTTCCGGAAAAGCTCACTCCTTTCCTTTTTTTTGTCAGAATTTTTACTGATGTTTTAATTTTCTCAATATTTTTTCCTTGCCCTGGCTTGCGAGCAATTTTGAAGCGACAGCTTCTGCTGGTTGATGAGTCGTATTCGAGGCTGCGAGAGGTCCTCTCAGCCATTGCCTCGTGGGTGGCATTAGCCAGCATCTGTGTTGGAGAGCCTGGGAGGTGGCATTGGGATGTGGATAGGGCTTCTTCCCTTCCCAGTGTGGGTGCCCCTTTCCATCACCCCTCTACAAGCCAGTCACCCATTTCTTTGGGTTTTTTTCCTTACTTCTTACTGCCCATCCTTAGCTTTGTGGCAAAAATGGCCAAATCCTCTTCTCACACGGCATGTGTCTCCCCAGAGGAGACTGCAGCCCATCCAGGAGCTGCTCGGGCATTGCCTGTCCTGGGCTGTGCTTGCAGAGAGCCCACAGCTGCAGGAGCATGATTTTTACTCCGTTGCCTTTCTCTGTAGAGGCTTTTCAAGGAAATCCCCTGGGATGCTTTTTATATAGCTGTAAGCTGGCTGTCTGCGTCTCTCTCTCTATTTTTTTTTTTTTTTATTGAACTCTTTCCTTTCTTCCTTGAGGAAGGAGGCGCAGATGAGGAGATTGTCTGAAAGAGAGCTCTGGTGCTGACCTAAAGCCCTTTTGTGCTGCTGTACCCATATTGTGTCAGGTAGCTGGAAGGATTTAACCCTGCCGTGACAGTCCTGGCTGGTCCAGGCTAGGTAGCCCCACGTTGCCTGTCTTGGGCAGAGTTGTAGTGTCGTTGGCTCGAACGCTTGGGGAATGAGTCCCTCCTGGCTCGCGCCTCCCTAAGAGTGACTGAGGCCATGCTGCAAAGGTTTGGGTCCTTTCTCATGTCTGTAAGGTGCTTGGCAGGAGCAGCACCTGCCCCTTGTCCTCATCCCATCCCTGCTGCTGGCTGTGATGCAGCATGCTCGCTTGGGCATCTCTCCGGTGGTCCGGTCTCAGTCACGTCCCTGAGCTTGTGACAGAGACCCGGGGAGTGATTTGGGCAAAACACAACAAGCATCACCCCTCTGTGGACAGCGCTCTGGCTCTGGACTGGCACTGATCCTGCACTGGGGTCCTGTGTATCTCTCCCCTGCCAGCGCTAGGCAAGGGCTGTCTGCAGACAGGGTGCGGCGCCAAGGGCAGCACCCGTGGGCAGCTCTGCGTGTTAGTGGTGTGACCGCGTGTGCAGGATAAACCTGTGCACCTTCACGGGGTGCCCGCACAGCTCTTCCCCACACCCCTCTGCTGGGACACAGGATGCGGCCGGCTATCGCTTTTCCTCGGCCCCTGGCGGGGGGCTGCGGCTCTCCCCCCTGCCCTCCCCTGGGGTGGCTGGCTCCCTGCCTCTCGGTGCTAAATGGATTGCAAACCCATTCTGCTAATGCAGCACGGCTGCCCATTACCGG